TTTAGGAACCCATAACTCGGGCCAAGGCCTTGGTCTTTTCGTTCCCATCTTCGGGGGACGTTTTATTCGTTCGTGCGAACGAATCCAGCGCCATAGAGTTCTCGGAGCTCTATATATTCGGCAAACGACCGGTATTTAAGTCTTTGTAATCCGAAGTTCTGCGGGGGAGCGGACCCGGTGAGTCATGGCAGGTGCTGGTCGAGAAACGGGGCAGAGGAGGACCTTCTTCTTCTTCCTCTTCTTATTTTGCAGACACTGCATCGCCCCCGCTCGGTTTGCTTCATCTCTTCTTAACTCGAACTTTTTTAATCTCACCGAGCAATTGCGTAATCGCCAGGGACACTTCAGCGGTTTATACGGTATATGAATTCGGAGGTTTGGATTCGGGATGCCTGCCCCTTATGGACTTTATTTATTCCGACTGATTTAGGATCTTAAAATATTCTTCATCTGTTAGGTCATCCCATAAGTGCTGCAGACTGAGCCGATATTTAATTTAAAAAAGTTCAGAAATTTTATAGTGACGGTGTAATGAGTTTGTCAGAAAGGTGGACAAATATTGTAAAACGAGAGAGATTGCATTTTCTTATAACGTATAAAATGAACATATCGAATACGTAATATATTTATGTATCCGTTTGAAATGTTTCCATTTCAGGGCTATCAACTTTGTCAACGGTGTGTGTACTCGTTTTCGAGATGAAAAAACAGGGACTTATGAAACGACTCAATACATATGTACATGTGTATCGTTTTACCTGTTGGCATAACTGTAATAGGAACATAAGCAAGGTGAAGTGTCCATCCGTCTCCTAAGTGCCTCTTACTCCGAAGAGCATCTACCTCGCAAGAACACGCGCACGTACATAAACACGCACACGCGAGCAACATCAATTAAATTGATTTACAAGTATCGAGTCTCGGAGAATCTTCCATCAGCGCTGGCGCGCAATCGCCGAACGCTTTTTCATCTTCATCGGCTCACCCAGCCGCCCACGCGCCGGTTCCCAGAAATCAACCCGGACTTTCCCACCTCTGGGCTGGTTGGCGCGAGTCCCGGCGAAGGACACTCACGTGCCTGTTCTATCATTTGTATCGCGCGAACGAGCGAAACGACAGCCGTAACGGTGTTGCAAACTTTGTAGCTGCTGATGGATCACTAGAGGAGGACTCCTGCTCGCGGATCGAGTTTCACCGGGTCTACGTTTCTGGAAATCTCGCCCGTTTCGAAACCGAGCGCGATTCCGAGACTGCGAGGTAATATTCTGGTTTTGTATCGCGGGATCCATTGTTTAATTACGGAATCGGAATTGGCTGGATCGAAATAGGAATTTTTAATACTGCGGGCAGAAAGTTGTACTTAGATTTCACTGGTTTGTTTTGTAAGAATTAGTTGGCATTCTTTTGGCGGCACACAACCATTGTCGATCGCGAACGGGTTGGGCAGAGGTGTCTCGATTTACACTTTGTTTTGTAAGAATTCTATGATCGGCATTCTTTTGGCGACACACGACCACAGTGATAGAAGCTCGCGTTTAAAGTCTTCATAGAAGTCCCAAAGTTCTAATGAATGTAAAATTGAAATGGATACTTACAGCGAAATCAACTGAAGTGAGAAGAACGAAGGGAGAAATTCCATTCACCTGGTGAACCTGCTTCAAATAATTTCGAAACTAATCTAGAAAATTCTGGTGGATCGTAACAAGGCTACCAGAGTCCACGACACGTAGGTGAGATTCAGTGTCATTGATTCTGCGCACTAGAATTGATTTCTACTTTTTTAAACGCATTCTTAAAAAACATTCAAGATGAAGATAGAATTTCCATTCACCCTGTTAATTTACTTCGAAGAAACTCGAAAGTAAACTGTAAAATTCCGAAAAACTATTCCGGATTGGTACCAGGGCTATCGGGGCCCACGACACGTAGGTGAAAGATTCCCGGGGGACTCGATTACTCTCCGATTTTTTCTCTCATTAGCCGCGCGTCCCGCAAAAAGCCCGGCCAAGTCTGCGCAAGAACGAAGCCAGCCGAGCGTTCGCCCCGGGGGGATGGCGTAAGGATCAGAAAAAGAGGACGAAGTAGTAGCGGCGCATGACCCCTGCCAGAGCATGCAGCATCTTGCCAGCGTTGCGCCTCCTCGCGTTGTTGCGTTGCTCTATTCTTAGCCTATGATGGGGACAGGTGGTAGAGCCAGGTAGCCTCTCGTAAACGCTCTCCCCTTTGTACTTATCTCTCGTTACGTTCTCTCGGTAACTCTTTAACCGGCTGTTTCTACTAATTATGGCATTTCGCGGGACTCACGGGCGAGCCGTTATCTCGTTCCTGGAGAGCACGTCCGATTGCGAGCCCGGGATCGCGGGTCGGGATCGTTTAACCCCTTGACTCCCGGCGCTTTTTCGCTCCTCGACGCAAAAACGTCGCGCGCGAGGCCTTTCACTCGCATTCTTCGAGTTTAACAAGAACTCGCGCGCCCTTGACGCTTGGGAATTCTTTATTCCACGGCTAAGTTCTTTATAATCCGCGACGCGTATAAGCGCGATAAATGGATCGCGCGGAGAGCTGCGTTTCGGAGGGGGAAGACATTAAAAGACGTCGTCGACGGTATTTGAGGGATATTTATCATCTTTGAATGAATACTGTGACGAAACGGAACGATTCGGATTTGAAAGGGGATATTGGTAGGGGTTTTGGTTGCTTTTTGTTCTTACGGAATGCAAATCCAATTTCAACTCTCGTTTGTGTAACATCGTCTTGTTATGTTAACACATCGTTGACCGGTGCATTTATCCCATATTCCATTAAATAGGTAATGCAGGTGAAACACGAGTCAAGAAATGCAGTATTTGGAGATGATGAAGAGAGGACTGAAGAGAACCGCACTCCGAAGAAGCGTGGACCATGGACTCGAATCCCGGCGTGATTGTCCGCGAGCAGAATGCTAATATGAACCCATCCGATCGGGCGGAAGATGATCGGGACCGGGTTGCTCGTTTTGCGTCATTACTTCTTTCGCCAGCCGGGGAACGTTATTCCGATCTTCACGCTCCATTGCTCGCAGCGTATTATAGCGTCGTTCTTCTGTAATCGGAATTCTTGGTGCTCTGTTTGCAGCTGCACGGTAGCTCACTTCTTGCGATAATAACCACGGCTTCTCGCTTTCCGTGCCCCTGCTCGCCCTTCGCCGTTGTCAGCCCGGGTACGCTCGCGAGCGCACGTCATTCCAGAAGCGGTACGTCGCGACGCGACGTCGATAAACGACTCCTCCGCGGACCTGCACGGTCCACCGCACCGAGACGCATCTGCCGTCTCTCTAGCGCAGTGGTTCTTCACCCTTTCTACTTTCCACGACCATAGTCGGTTGCTCGTGCAGCGACTAGAATCGTTCGGCACGAGACGCTACTCGTGGATGGCCGTAGTTGCTGGTTGCAAGATGCCACTTATCTAGAACAGCCAACTAGTCTTACGAGACTAGAGTCGTTACAAGACGCTGCTTATGTAGGACGTCCAACTATAATCTTTTGCTTCCAGACGCTATATTAAGGAAGAGAGAAGCAAACGCGATGCAAAGTAATGTAATGCAAGAATTAAACAGGGATATACATTAGATATTGGGTTGGCCAGAAAGTTCGTGGTAATTTTTGTATTTTGGTATACAGTCAGTCCTGTAAGTGATAGGCTGCATGTTTTCAAATCAAATTTTTTTCTAGTGTAAATATGGGTACGAATAAACTTCACACATGTATGCATTTACAATTACAAATTTATTTGGGAACATGGAGCATTCATTTAAATTAGACAAATTTCTTCAGTAAGTATAGAGAGTAAACCTATGCGACTGACTGTATATTTATTGAATTCAGACTTGTACCATCTACCAAAAATCGCCATGAACTTTCCAGACAACCCAATATTACCTAGTACATTATAAATACACTGCGGATTTTTATGCACTTATAGGAAATTCGAATATGCAAGAAACTACAAAATACACACAGTATGCAATAATATAAAAAAATATTGAAAGTTTGTATTATAATATTTGCAAGGTGAAATGAATTCTT